CAAACTGCTATGGGACTCTTTCGCTTTATTCCCTTATAGAAGAGGAAGGAGAATAAGGCAGAGATAGATGTATGAGAAAACCAATAGCAAAGGAAGACTAGAAATCCTTCCAGCTATAGGCTACACACAACAAAAAGAGCATGTGCAAAAAAAAAAAAAAGCCCTGTGTCCTCCTACTGCCAGAGAAGATAAATTTCCTATAAAGGACTGAACCTTGGACTTTTCCTGGTTCTTTGGGTCGGGAAGCACTTCTATTCTGAGAAGTATCATTCTTTTAGTAAAAGGCCTCTATTTTTAATCACTAACCATGTATCCCAGGTGCAATTCTTTGTTCAAATAGAGAATCTGGAAATCCCAGTGAGATATCTCTAGACTCTGATCTACAGTTATAACACATTTGGTAAACACCAGCCAGGGATACAGATACACACTTACACCTGTATGTATTATCTTAAGAACTTTAATTCAGGGGCTGTAGAAATGGCATAGCAGTTCAGAGTGCTTGCTGTTCTTCCAGAGGACTTAGCAGTTTCCTAGCACCCACTCAGGGCTACTCCAAACAGCCTGTAACTCCAGCAGTGTCCTCTTCTGGCTTTTGAGGGGCCCTCCCTATACACATGGAATATGTCAAACCTGAGATTCACTAGAGAAAAAAACAGTTCCACAATTTTGAGCCAAATTAATTAAATTAAATGCTGGCTTGGAAGATGAACTCAGGCCAGGCCCACTCCTGGCTTCCCAGGAAACGGATGTGAGTAATGTTTTGCAGAAGCTTTAAAAGTCAAAGACCACACTGCACTTCCCATTGGCCTAATTAGGGGCAAGCATGTATCCTGACATATATCCTGCCCACAAGCAAGCACATCTGGTGCAAACAGACTTGTTTAGGGGAGTAAAAATATGTTATTTATTATTTCCCAAGAAGCACAGCCCCTAACATTCCAGGAAGTTATCTAACCTTGGGCAAGTGGAGCTTACAGGTTAACTTTGGCTCTTACATATACTCCCACACCAAAACTAAACAGAAAAAACTTTAAGTTAAAGATGCATAAAATGCCTTCAAACTTTTTTCCTTACCAAGATTCATCATGGAATATTCCTATTTTCCATCCCCTCCCATTTTCACTTTCTCTGGAGCACCTGGGAATGACCGGCAAGCTCCCAACCAAAAAGCACCAGCTCCAAGCTAGCCCTTACCCTTTCTTTCCTGTTGGTGGTGGTTTATAGTGCTTGTGATGATTTGAATAAGAATGGCTCCCATGGGATTATATATTGAATGCTTAGTCATCAAGGAATGGCACTATTTAAAAAGATTAGGAGGTGTGGCCTTAGAGGAAGTGTGTCACTGGGGGTGGGCTTTGAGGTTTCAAAAGCCCAATCCAGGCCCAGTAGCTTTCTCTTCCTGCTGCCTTTGAATGCAGATGTATAACTCTCAGTTTCCATGTCTGCCTGCTTGCTGCCATGCTTGATTGACTCTGTGAGGATAATGGACTAAACCTCTGAAATTGTAAGCAAGCCCCAATTAAACGGTTTCTTTTTATAATAGTTGCCATGGCCATGGAGCCTCTTCACAGCAACAGAATGCCAACTAGGACAATGTCCTATGGTCACAGACCAAGGAGCTAGAGCCTGTCAAGGAAATCCTGTACTTAAGACTGGGAAGATGAGGAACTGACTTTTGTGCACAAGTAGAGTGTAGCTGTGGGGAGCAGGCCATTATGGGGCTGGCACTGTGGACTAACCATTGTAGCGCTGGCCATATACAACCATTACAAAAAGGGGTAAGGTTCATTCAGTGCCCCCAAAAGACTTGACGGAGTAGCATGCATCCTCCTCAAGCTGACAGATTGATGGGCTCCAAGTGAACAGGGCCTGGGGCAGATGGAAGGCCACTCCTCAGCAGCACTTAGCTGTTTTAAGTGCACTGAGCCATAACTGGTTCCAGGACAACTGAAAAGGCCCATGGGAAAAGTAGCTGGGGTGGGTCACTCTGCCTTGGGCCCTGACAGTATAGGACACTTATCTACCCAACATTAACTAGCCCCATGCCCCTCATTCACACAGCTGAATTTGCCTGTCAAATCCTGGGCCAGAAGGACAGCGGCCTGCTCCTGTGCTTTTAGCAACCTGCACTGCCTTCTTGGGGATCACCTGCTGTGGCTCCACAATGACATTCCCTGGGAGTAGGCCAAGCCACCTCTCCAATGGCAGAGCCATTCTCAAATACCCACACTTTATTCACTGCTCATGGGATGGATTGGAGGCAGAATGAACTGTTGCCACTGTGCCTGGGCATACAGAGCTGCTGGGCTCAAGTCATGGAAGTGAGGGTCGGAAAAGGAAGCAGTTAATTTAAAATCTACTGTGGTGTTTTTGATCAGGATGGAATTTATGGGATACCTAAGTATTCAAGTTTAAACTCGAACACCTTCCCCAAAATGCCAGTTAAAGACAGTAATAGCAAGAGACAGCATTTTTGTTTTTTAATTAAACTTATTTAGTGTGTGTGTGTGTGTGTGTGTGTGTGTGGCATGCCACATCAGTGGGGGTCAGAGAACAACTTTCAGGAGATGATTCTCTTTCCACCACATGGATCCCAAGGATCACACTCAGGTCATCAGGCTTAGCACATGTACTTTAACATGCTAGGTCACCTCACAAGCCCATGCTGGGAGAAATGCATAGAGGAATGGGATTGTCAACAAAGCATCATTTGTATACTGTCACGAGCTTCAAACAAATAAAAATTAAAAGAGGTAACATATTCTCTAGCTGGTTGTTTTCTCAATTCTAGTTCTACAAGATGGTCCAAGAAGTCCCTATTGCTTGAAGAAATCTATGTCTGTAACACATTTTGCAAACTTTCAGCAGGAGTGAAGGGATCCCTTGGAACTGGAGTTACAGGCAGTTGGAGCTGCCTGAGCTGAGTGCTGGGAAGTAAGCCTGGATCTTCTATAAGAGCAAAAATGTTCTTAACTCTCAAGCCATCTCTCTAGCCCCATGTTTTGTTAACTATAAAAACCTTATGAAGCTGTTACCATGTGGGAATATAGTATTTGGTCAATCTGAATCTGTTTCTAGGTCGTGATCACTCAGGTTTGGTTCCAGAATAAACTCTTAGTCTCTTTGAAGTCAGATCTGTTGTGTGTATGTTTCTGGGAATTGAACTTAGGGCTCTATACATGCGTGCTGGGTAAGCACCCCATCCACTGACCTATACATGCATGCTGGGTAAGCACTCTATCCACTGACCTACACATGCATGCTGGGTAAGCATTCTATCCACTAACCTATACATGCATGATGGGTAAGCACTCTATCCACTGACCTATACATGCATGATGGGTAAGCACTCTATCCACCGACCTATACATGCATGATGGGTAAGCACTCTATCCACTGACCTATTCCCAGCCCCATGTACATGTGTTTTGACACCTAACCATGGTGCTCCAAGGATGATCGCCTTCCACCAGAAGAGTAGTCTGGATTGGTGTTAGATACTAGAACTATGCCCAACCACTTAGTGTTATCTCCTCAAGCAGATATTTGTAAGTTTTTTGGGGACTTGGACTTGCTTGTTTGGGCCACAGTCCTTTGGTTTATTCTGAGTTGGTGAGTAGCTGGCAGTAGGGTGTCCACTATATTTGTTTTTGGTGCCTATGGTTTCAGAATGTTTGGTTTAATTTTGTTTTCAGAATGTTTGGTTATTAACTTGCTAGCATTCAGCCTTTTATCTCTTTGACATTCCTCTAGTGTCTAATTTACAGGAGAATATTTAAAAAGCTGTCATTTGGCAGTCCAGATGGTTTTGTTTGGTAACTGTGTAAATTCAACTTACAAATTAAATTAAATTAAAATTTAAAAATTAAATAAATATAACTATAGATAATTTGATTTTATGCTTCCCATAATAGGGATTATTTGATTCCTCTTCCCTCCCCCAACTAAATTAGAAGATCTGGGCAACAAGAATTAAAGATCACAAATGGACAGCCTACTTTAACTGATATTTTAAAATATCTAAAGAGAAACTGAAGTTTTAATTTATAATTAATTGAGTTTTAAAACTACATCAAAGATAAAGAAACGCTAAAAATGAGTAAAATATTAAAAAAAGTTTAAAGATTGTGTAAAAAACTAAAGGAGAATTCTAAAAAAATTAAAAACCTAAGCATTTGCAGGCTGTGCTTCCTGACGGTTCTCTATCAAAGAACTATTGCAGTCTATTTTAAGGATAAAACCTAAAGAGAAAACAGACCCTATTCTAAACTTTCAGTCCATCTAACAGCTTTACCTTGAGTCTTTCTCCTCTCACCAGCCCTTTCTTCTTTCTCACTGAGGCAGAGTTTTAATTCTACTGTATGGTACCTTTTGTTGGGTATAGCCTCTTCTGACTGTGTCCCGTCTGCTCATGATAACTTGTTCATGACAGCATCATTGTCATTTTGTATTCAGAAAGAACTAAATGACAAAAGTCTGTGGCCATTTCATCATACATTTAAAAAAAACCCACTTTATTGTGTTTTTCTTAGCATGCTTAATTTTTTTAAACGTTTATTGTTTAAACATTTTGTCTGCATGCACATGTGTGTACTATATGTATGCCTGGTTCCTTCAGAGTTCAGAAGAAGGCATTGGGTTCCCCAGAACCAGAATTACAATGGTCGTGAGCCACCTTTGGGTGCTGGGAATTGAATCCAGGTTCTCTGCAAGTACCATGCCTGTTTTAAAACATGTAAGGGAACATGCATGTCTGACAGTATACTAAAAGGCCTGACAAGTACACACTGCCTTATAATAAATGTAGGTACTTTTAACTCCCTGAAATTTATTAAAATATTTTTTGCTTCTCATGTGTTTTGTGGAGACCTTAAAATGCTACTTATGTAAATAAGACGAGCAGCATTCTTTGGTGTCACAACATAAAAGCTTCATTAAACTACTAAATCTTACAAGGAATATATAGATTTTGGTAAAGATATTCTTCCAAAACCAGATCTGTGAAAGATTAAAATTTTATTTCTTTTTTTTTAAAGCCGGGGGTAACAAAAATAAAACAGCGTCAAAATGCTTTATGTTGATCAAATGCTCTGAATGCCGTGTTAAGAATTCTTCTGTTGGACTAATTTCTTTTATAGGAGTGTTCTTAGAGTACAAGTGCTGGAGGCAAGATTTCTGGTAAGGCCGAGGTACATCTAGAATGGTGGTTATATTTGCCAAAGATTTTTAAGATGAACTTCCTTTCCATAATGAAAATTATAGGAATTACAATACCATCAAGCAGTAACATCAGACTGGGTATACTAACACTGTATGTGATAAAAAGGACACACTATTAAGTCTTACCAAAAAGGAAGTCTTCCTTATTTTGGTTACAACTTAACACATTGCTAAAATCTTATTTCTCTTGAGATCCTGGGCAGAGACAATATACTGTATCTGACAGGGTATCATTACAGTTGGTTAAAGAAGGGCAATAGATGTTTGGAGACAGGATATAACCTGTTAGAGTCCTCCTAAGGAAGTGGCACCAGTGTCCATAAGACCCGAGTCCGTAGCCTGAAGAAAACCTTAAAGACAGGCTACCTACAGTACAAGCCATTAAAAGGCTGAAGAATTTAAAGGATCTCTTCAGACAACAAACAGGATGCTTTAACTTCTTAAAGGCAAAGTAACTATCAATAATTATAACTTTATGTTTTGGGTTTTCATTTTTTCTTTTGGCACTGTTAGTACTCAATGGTTACCATCCCATACTTTCTTCTCTTTAATCTATTTCACTACTGGATTTTTTTCCCTACAAATTGTTCCTTTTTGTATTTTGCCATAATCTTAATGCATAACCATCAGTTTGGGTTTTTTGTTTGTGGATTTTGTTGTGTTTTGGTTATTGTTGTTTTAACAGTTTTAACTGTTGTTTTAACAGGCCAATATCCAGAATAATTTACATAAGCATAGCTATGCTTTTCCTGACTCTGATCCTTTCTGGGGTGAATGGTTAACATAAATCATATTATTTTTCATTAATGATTTTTAAAAATTTATTTATTTTAGGTATATGGATGTTTTTCTTACATATGTATGTGTCCTATGTGCATATCTGGTGTCATAGATGTCAGAAAAGTTGTTAGAACCTCTTAGATCCTTAGAAACTACAGTTACGGATGGTTGTGAGCTACAACGAGGGTGGTGAGAATCAGACTCAAGGCTTCTGCAAGAGCAACTGGTGCTCCTAACTGCTAAACCATCCCTCCAGCCCATTACATTTTTTTTAAATCATGTACAATTTATCATTATGATACAAGGATTCAAGCCAACTCCTAAAACAAAAACTCTAAAGCCTCCTCTCCAACTAATAGATAAAATAGGAAGACAGCTTTGGTCTCTCTTTGGCAAAGACTACATCCCTCATTAACATGGAAATCATACAAAATAGATTATTATCATTTAGCTCCTCAAAAAGATTTTTGTAACCACAGCTCTGAGGACAGGGTAAAGTGAGGTAGAAGAATAGAAAATTCTAGAGCCAAACAAACAAAAACCAATCCCAGAGGAAGACTGGAAACCTCTCCAACAAATCTATTCATAACAAAACATCATGCTTTAAAAAAAAGCCCTACCTTCTCTAATTGCCAGAAAAGATGAAAGCTATGCAAAGATTCTGTGAAGAGCAGAGACTCTTTTGGTCCAAGGCTTTTCAGCCTTAGACCTTTCCTAGTCCTTGGACATACTCTCATTCTGGGGAATATTTTTCTTTCTTCCTAACAAAAGGTCTCTATTTTCGTCACCACCCATGTGTCCCTGGTCCGGTTCTTGTTTCTGAACACAAGAAGCTGGGAAATTCAGTAGATGTGCTCTAGACTCTGACCCAGGCCTATAATCAAAGTACAACTAAGGTTCTCTTAGATTTATGTTTTGGCATGTCTTGCTTTTATAAAAGGTATGTTGTTTAATGGCCATCTGAGATGTAAAGGAAGGAAACTGGTACTTGGGCTTTAAAAAACTAAGGCCAGAGGGTGAAGGAAACATTTTTGGTTTTATAAATATTCCAAGGCTACCTAATGAACTAAACACTGTTTTTCTGTTTTGAGACAGTTTCACTATGTATCCCTGCCTGTCCTGGAACTTTGTAGGCCAGGTTGGACCTACAGTCACAGAGATCTGCCTATCTCTGCTTTTCAAGTGCTGTGATTAAAGGTATGCATCATCCTGCCAGGCTAAAGCTAGTTAATGAATATTGAAAAGATGATTGGTTTATTTTTTTAAACCAATTTTACATGAGAAAAAAACCCTAGTTTTCTTTTGAGGCCATAGCTCAGGACACAATCAACAGATATAACATATGATCTTTCATTTACTGTTTGTGATAAACAATTCAATTCTGTATACACTCAAATAGGAATTAGAACTATTTGCTTGACTATGCATACTGCATAATGCGAAAAGTAAAAAACTCACAACTTTCCCTGATAAAGTCAATTAAACTGTGTTGTCATATAGATTACCAGTTAAATTTGCTAGACACAATAATAATAATAATTTGAAGATCAAAGAAAGCAAAACAACAGACTTTAACTGGTGAGAGGGCTACATTCCACAGGTGCCATGGGAAAGCTTCTGAAGGGGTGTTGGATGGCCCACCCCTCTGATTGGCTGTGGGCCATAGAGCCCAAGACAAAATCTTGGATGTGATGAGAACAGAACCCATTCACTGGCAGGTCAGAGTTTGCTTCCAAGACTCCAGCTAGCACCAAGGCAGATAGTACGGAGCTGCCTAGAATCCCTTTTCTTTTTATTACTGGGGAGCCATCTGTGAAGTTAATATAATAATGTCAATCAAAGCTGACAAGGCTAAGTGCTGGCTCACAGTCGACCATATGAATATGGGATTTTGCTAGTACTTAATGACTTTGTTCAATATTTAATTAAGAATTAATAAAGGTACAATTAACATGCAACTCTTGTAAAAAATAGAAAAAAATAAAAATTACTAATTTTTCATGAATGATCAGCACAAACTGTTAACCTGTTAAGAAAAGCCCAAATTCTCCACCATTCTAGAATATAAATATACACTTTCTGTTTCTCTCTAAGCATCTTAGGTCCAGGACAAAGGAGATAAACCAGGAGCTAAACACCCAACAGACCAATTGCCCATTCTCTGTGGCTGAGTTGATCATCTCTTGTGATGGGCATCGTGTCTTTGAATGTACAAGTCTTTGGGGATTTCTTGACCATCTTGGCACAACTACATACAGTAGGTGCTTTTTGTTTTCTTGGTAGAATAATTCATCAGTGCTTCCTCTGAGGTTCAAACATGACCACTGGCCAGATTCCAAAGAGAAACTGTGGAAACAAGTAAGGACAAAATGGGATAGAACAAGATTACTATATGCCTTAAAAAAAATTGAGGGAGAGCAATCCCTAAGGGCCTGGGCTGTAACAAATGTTAAGCTTGTTAGTATTAGTAGCCTGAACATAGCAACTGCCTTTCTGACTTGCATCAGATCTCAAAAGCTCCTTCCATTTAATTTATTTAAACACATTGGGCATCTACTTTGTCAAACATGGAAGTAGACATTTCATCTGTAATCTTAAAGAAATTTTTGTTGTGTGAGTGTGTGTGCACACAGGTGTGTATGTAAATGGAGCGCTTATGGAGGTCAGAAGAGAGGGTGTGTGTGTGTGTGTGTAAATGAAGTGCCTGTGGAGGCCAGAAGAGGGCACTGAGTCCCCTAGAGCTGGAGTCAGAGGTGGTTGTGAGGCAACTGGCATGGTGCTGGGAATGGATCTTGGTCCTCTGAAGAAACAAGGTATGCTTTATACTGCTGAGTCATCTCTCCACCCTGTTAATCTTCAATTCTAAAATTAATGCTGTAATGTTGTACTTAACAGCTCCATTCTGTTGAGGTAATTCAGGCTTAAAGAAGAGACTTGTATAAGGCCTTACAGCTAGGAAATGTCCAGATAACAACTAAACTGCCATTTGCTGCAATTCCAGATTTAGTACAGGAAAGTGTAGTACAGACATATTCAATTTTATAAATTTAACAAGTAGGTTCTTTTGACCTTTGCATTCTTATTTGAAATACTAGGATAGAAGGATCACAGGGTAGCAAGTGGATAACAGACATTTCAGATTTGATGTCTGTGCTGCCCCTTGACTGCTCCACCAACTCCTGTTGTCTCTTGAATCCACTTGATCTTCTCAAGACTGCCACCACCCTTCCCTTTACAACATACTTACCTTCACTTTTGGCCTGTACCTCAGGTAAAGTGTTCTCGTATACAAACTGAAAGAAAAGTAGGAAAACTTCTTAGAAAAATCAACTCATAGACTATAATTTCGGGATGTTTGTAGTTTAGAACCTAGCATGGCATTATAATGTTTCATGTGGTTGGTATCACAATTCCATCTTTGAAAACCGCAGCTGTAAGCATTCATTAAATAAAGGTGTGAGAAACCCAGAGAGGTAACAGTTTCTTTGGTGTCTGTCATTAAAGTGAGTCATTCACTGCTGGAGGTGAGATTAGATAGATCTGTAAAGTAGTGCAGATGGCAAACGTTGCTCAATTAGTTCCGGAAAGTCACTAGGTTGTCTGTAACATACAACATATGTAGTTTTATGTATACTGCACTACTTAAATATATTTGAATAGTAACAAAATATTGTGATAACATATACAAAGTCTACTATTCTAGTATTTCAAATAAGAATGCAAATGTCAAAAGAACCTACTTGTTAAATTTATAAAATTGAATATGGCTGTACTACACTTTCCTGTACTAACTGCAGTAAATGGAAGTTTAGATGTTACTGGACATTTGCTAGCTGTAAGACTTTGGACTTGTTAATTTCTGGTATTTTTAGGTATTTATTCAACAAAAGACATAAACAATTGCTGTTAGCAGAAAGTTTTTTAGCACAATCTAGACTGACATTAATGCAAAAGAAAGTCCTCACTGGGCATGGCAGTCTTTGCCTATAATTTCAGTACTTAGTAGAGAAAGCCTTGAGCATGAGGTCAACCTGGGATACTTAGTGAACTTCAGGTTATCGTAATCTACAAAGTGGGAACATTGTCCACTTCATGGATATAATACTGAGAGTCTCCAGAGAATCTGCTCAGCCCACGGACAAAGCTAAGTGTGGTGAGCTGAGACTTGGTATACTAAGAAGCCACAAAAGTGAAAACAGTTCTACTGAGCCTTAGACACTTATCTAATGTAAGCTCCTCAACGGCATAAACCATAGCAAAGATGAGTGTCTACAAGCAAAAGTAGGCACCTCGACCTTGTGCCTATTGTAGACTCTCCAAGTTTTGACAATATAGAAAGAAACACAGTTCCAAGCCTTGTTCTGTTTCTCTTTTGTTTTTTTCTGCCTCTGCACCCTCCTTTGTTTTTTTTTTTTTTTGCTTCACTTTTAGTAGTATTTCTACTTTACTACATACATTTTTAAAAAGCAGATTCCCTATCCCCCTTTCCTTGTTATTTTGAGAGAGGGTCATATGCAGTTCAGGCTGGCCTGCAATTCACTATGTGGATGAAGATGACTTTGAATTCTGGTCATCCTGCTTCTATCTTTTGAGTGCTACCATGCCCACTTTCCGAGGTGCTGAGGATGGAACCAAGGCTCTGTGCACACTAAGCAGGCACCCATCACCTGAGCCACACTCCTAGAGCCTTTTCTTTCTGCCTCTGACTCCCTTTCCTCCTCTCTACTATAATACACACTTTTGCTTTGCCTTATTTTTAAAAAAGCTTTTATACTTTTATTTCAAAATTTCCTTTCTTACATTTATCTAATTTTGCTTTCAAATTTGAATAACAGGAAGACTCTAGCTGCTGTTGTTTTGAGACAGGTTACCATATGAACAAGGCTGCTCTCAAACTCACTGTGTACAGCTGAGAATGACCTCTGGACTCTCAAACTCCTGATCATCCTGCCCCTACTTTCCAAGGACTGAGACTACAGACATGTGCCAGTGTGCTCAGCTTGTTTCTTCTTTTCTGATTCCTTAATCCTGCCCATTTTTTTTAAAGAAATTAAAACAAATGTACTGGAAGGTATTATGTGTGTTTATCTGTGTGTGTGATGTATGTGCAGAAGTCAGAAGAGAGTTTCAAGTCTTTTAGAGATAGGAGCCATCTTTCTAGGCTGTCTTGACTGTTTTTTTCTTTCCCCTCACAACAGTTTTCTTCACTCTTCTTTTTTCTGTTCTTTTATTTAACCTTGGTTCTCTTTTATTTCTTTTTTGTTTCCTTCCTTTATTTCATTCAGCATTATTTTCACATAAATCTTAAGCAATTTTTAATTTTAATTAATTTTCTGAGAATTTTATACAATGTATTTTGAACATCTCTACCTCATCCTTTGCAATTTTTTAATGTAGCACACTACATTAGTTTTGCCATTTTCTGTTTTATGGTCAGTGATATAGAATTGGGTTTTAATAAATGCTAACTGTATTTATAGATATTTTTTGGCTTAATACTGTTGTAACTACAGCAATCTGTTTTCTCTGCTGTCAGTGCTACTAGTGAACTGAGCCCTCAAGAGCAAGATGACCAATCAGGTCCCCAAATAAAACTAGAAGAAAACTTGTCATGGTGTCACACATCTTTAATTCCAGCACATGGATCTCTGAATTTGAGGCCAGCCAGCCTACATGGTGAGGTCCAGGCCAGCGAGTGCTCCATAGTAAGAAGCTGTCTCAACAATAACAACCCCCCCACAAAAAATGCCAAATGAAACAAAAATCAATGACAAAACAAACTGGAATGATAGCCAAAGTAACAGTTTGTCAAATCACAACACACAAACACAAGAAACATGAAAAGGCAAGACAATGTGATTCCTCTAAAAAATAATTTCCTACCCACTAAACTTAAAGACAATGAGTAAAATTTTGGATAATTTGCCTTAAAACTGTTACACAGTCTTGGCGTGATGGAGCTGCAGTGAGGACTTAAATCCATTTTTGCTGTATGTGTCTAATCCTAAGTAGTCTCTTTAAAGGGAACGAAAGGGGCAAAGTAACAACCAACTTATTTCTGAAAAAGGGTTCCCCTATTTAAGAAGGTCTAGATTGAAAACTCTAAGATCATACACCATGATACCCTCTTGCCACTCATCAAGACTTGGGTATAACTGGGTCTCTTGGATACCTGTTAGCTGTGAGCCATCCACTTTCAGAATATACGTAATAAAACCCCCGATTATCAGCTGCTCCATGATTCCTTACACGTGACATAAATGTGAGAAACGATTTCTTATGGTCACCTAGTGGCAAAGGCAACGATGGGCTATAAATCCTGATTCTGTCTCCAACATTTCATACTTACACCTTTCTACTTGAAGTATAAAGTCAAAAAAACAAAATTCTCCCAATATCAGGTTAAAAAGCTTTTATTTCCTACCTGAAAAGAATGTGAAGATAAGAACCCAGTCCAGTTAGAATATGCCACCATGCATGAAACTGTGTCGCAACACCTAGGACAGGGGGCACTCTCTTTCGAAAGCTCCTATGGGAGAAGGAGGAGGCCGCAATGTTACAATGAAGATATACTAGTGCTGACAACATTACATTTTGAAATATTCTAAAATATGGCAACTATTTTACTGTATTGTTTTCTAAAAGTATATTGTGGAACAAACAATATTTCCAGGAATTTTATGAAGAAATGACTCAAATTACTATAGATAACAATTTATTGACATCTTATTAATTTTAATGAATATTAATTAATTAAAGGTTTTGAAAAGTCTTATCATAGAATCCATCATTTTGTTCTGGGTAACCACTAATCCATGGAAATTGTTTTTTAGGTGATACTTATTCATACTCTGGAACGTTCTAGAACACACTTTGAGAAACCCTAGTCCAGTTAGCTATCTGCTCAGGAAAGAATACATATGCACTTCCTTTCATCTCTGTATACAGTCTATGAATTTCAATAATATCTACGATTTCATATCTAAGTGTTCCTTTGAGGAAGCAGTCATTAGAAAAGCTATATATGGCAGGAACTTAAAAAAATGCTTGATTAATTTAGTTTTCCAGGTTGACACCTAGTAGTTCAGATGGGTCTCAAATCCTTTGATTAAAGAAGTATATACCATACTAATAACTTATTAAAAAAGAATACCAATGTGGGATGCCAACCTGAGGCCCAACTGTAGGTTAGTGGATGAGGCCTGGGGATGACTATTCTCTCAGTATAAAGGCTTCACTCTCCTAGGCATTATGTTGGATATTTCTAACTCAGAAGCATGGGTCTCGATCTTTGTCCCGTATTTTCTTCTTTTTACCCCACATCTAGGGTTTCATGTAGTCAGGCTACTGTCAAGCCCTGAACCTCCCGCTGAGAGCTCTGGGATGATGGGCATGCACTACCGTGTGCAGCCGAATCTTAATGTTTACGCAAGGGATGTATTGACTTGTCTACATTTACTTACACAACTGCTTCTTTACTACACAGATCTAAAGTATATACTTACTTAGCTACATTTAAAGCTTCACATTTTATATGAAACTTTAATACAGGAAATTATAGAGAATTTCAAACATATGCAAAGGCATGCAAAATAACAACTAAGCATAATAATACATCTATTACCAGATTTCAATAATTAATAAATATGCTAAATCCATGTCATCTGAACCTTCATCTGTGTCTCTCTCCCACATTATAGTGAGGAAAATTCTAGGTATCATATTTTATAACTAGATATTTCAGTATATGTCACTAGAAAAATTCTTTTAACTATAGCTACAATACTAATTTCACATGTAAAATATTAATAACTCTTTAGTATAAAATAGTTAACTATAAATTGAGTTCAACATTTCTGTTTATGTTTTCACAGTGAATCAAGATCACAAAAGGCTAATAACACTGCAAACCAATGGCTTCCCTACACTCCTTGGTTAACACTGCAAACCAATGGCTTCCCTACACTCTTTAGTTTTGTTTTTTGGTGGTGGAGATTGAACCCAGGGTCTCGTACATACCAGACAAGGACTGAACCATATGACCTATATTCTTAGCTCCCATAATATATCACTTAACTCTTTTAAACTTGGGTTATACCTCTCTCTTTTTCCCCTCTTGTAATTTATTTGCTGTAGAGACCAAGTCATTCAACTTCTAAGTTTCTAAATAGTCTAAATGCTACTGATTGACACATTTCTTCGAATGTTTTACATGCATTTTAAATGCCAATTACAAATCATTCTTGTTTACTTGATGACACAAACTAAATAGTTTTCTTTTTTGTTTTGTTTGTTTGTTTTTTAGAGACAGGGTTTCTCTGTGTGATATCCTTGGCTGTCCAGGAACTCACTTTGTAGACCAAGTTGGCCTCAAACTCACAGAGATCTGCCTGCCTCTACCTCCCAAGTGCTTGGATTAAAGGTACGTGCCACCACGACAACTTGATTAGGTAGTTTTCAAAGATATAGTAAATCTGTGATTAACTGTATAGCTTTGTGATGCACACATACAAAATAATTAAAGATTATAAAATATTCTGAGGTTTAAACTTTCAGGCAATTTAAATAAGTATTCCCATAGTTTAATTTTACTGTGTTATACAGTGTCAACATTGGTAAATGTTAATTTTAGGACATTGTTGTTTCTACATGCCTACTAAAGTCTCTGTTTAATACAACAGTTCCAAATTTATTTTCTAGGAATGAAAATATATCTTACCTTAGTGAATCACAAAAGATGTTATCTACATTCCATAATAAAAACCCTAATAAAAAGATAGTCAAGGACGTATAACCTAGTCCTCTAAGCCATGGATAAACCCTGTGGGGAAAAGAAAAGCAACATGACAAATCTTCAAGTCATATCATGATCAGAGGTGACAGCTGGAAGTCATCACATTTATGAGGAAGAAAAGTCCTCAGGAGATTAAGAGCAAACTCATTTATTAATGTAACACCTTTGACAACCAAGTGCTACATACTTTAAAAAGACTTTTGAAGTATGTCTTTCTAGGTTGTTCCTCAGGCTGGTCTCAAATATTAGAGCTCCCATACTCCTCTTGCCTCAGTCGCCCAAGGAGCTGGGACTATAGCAGTTTTACCACTGTGCCTGGATATTTGCTGAACACTTAGCTATTTAAAGGTACTGAGAGAAAATGGTCCATCAAGATTGTTAAGTACATGTAGGAGATAATCCAATATACTTGCCCAACAATTTTTCAATGGCATGGAAGAGAATGGAAGAGATAGGGGGAAGAATTAACATAGGTTGAATCACATTTTATGCCAGGTACTGAGCACACACACACACACACACACACACACACACACACACATCACAGAACATACTAAGTTCTTAATGTGTCAGGCATAGTTCTTTCAGTGGGAAGTAGTCAATAAGAAAGCCCTGCTTCTAGTATAGTTGAGGCAGGAAATGAAAACAGTATTGGTTATAAGTGTTTTGAAGAAAAGTAAAGGAATTTGGAAGTGATAAAGAGGTGTTTAGGTGGGGAATTTCTCTGTCAATTCTGTAAATACACCTATGATACAAGTATTCTTTTCACTTCACTGCTAAGGAAGTTAAAGGGTAGTGAATTGCTTAAAATATATTAACAGCAGCTTAATCACTTTTTGTAGCTTTAATAAAGTCAACTTATTTATTTGGTTTTTGAGACAGGGTCTTGCTAAGTAGCCTTGGCTGGCTTGCAACTAGGCTGATCAAGCTGACCTTGAACTTTTAACTATCCTCCTGACTCTGCCTCCAATGTACTAGGATTATAAGCCATACACTACCATACCTGGTTTAGAACATACATATTTATAAAGTACATCTAAGGGCTTGAGAGAAGGCTCAATGTTAAGAGCACACACGGAGTTTGGTTCCCAGTACACAAGTTAGGCAGCTCACAACTGCCTGTGATTCCAACATTGGGGTTCCACTCCCTCTTCTGGCCTCTGAAGATACTGTCACTTGTCCCTACTAAACATACAGACACGCCCACATAAACACAATTAAGGATAAAACAAATTTCTAAAAATGTACATATGAATTCAGGCTTAGTGATTTACATCTCTAATTTCAGACTTGGGAGGCTGACTCAGAAAGATGACGTAGTGGGAGGCCACACTGGGCTACGGAGAGAGATCATGTTTCAAGACAAAAACCAGATGAGCAGAAGGTGCATGCAACTACTACTGTGATTAAAAATAGCATATCCATTATCTCAGAAAGTAAGAGGGAGAGAGGGGAGAAGAAGACAAAGAGGGAGTTGGATACTGAGACTGAGGATGGAATCATACTGTGTTCTCTTATTTTATGACTTCTTTAATTTGGTATTGATTCATCCATTCTGTCATTTATATGACTACATCAATTATTTTATTACTAATACTCCACAGCTTGGATATAACACAACTTGTTTGGATGTCCAAATGTTGATAGAGATTTTGTTTCTAGTTATTGAATATTACAAATGAAGCATCTATGGACATTCCTAATTGAGACCATGTGTTGAAATATACTCTCATTTCTCTTTGATAAGTAGGTGGGGGAGGAATGCCTTGGTTGTATGAGATGAATGTTTAGCTTTTCAAGACACCATTCAAGCATTATCCCCCTTTCTCCCTTTCTCATCTCTTATCCTTCTGTTCTCTTTCTTTCTTGGTCCTGGAATAAAACTAGGGACCTTAACATGATAGACAAGTTTGCTAACACTGGGCAATCCCTCAGGCATTGAGGGTAGGTGGTGGTACTAATTTACATTTCTACCAGCCATGTACAAGTGGTTCCAGCTGTTCTGAATCCATGCACACCTAGTGTGTCAGTCCCCTTTCATTTCAGTGCAGTGGTATCTCATTGTGTTTTTTATGTACTTTCCCCCAAATTAGTAAGGGGCATTGTTTTGTTTAATTATCTCCTATCTTCCCCAATATTTATTGTTGTAATAATTCTTTATAAATTCTGGTGTGAATCCTCTGTTGCATATATATTTTAGAGATATTCTCTCCAAGGTCTGTGACTTGCCTTTTGTTTTTTGAACACAGTCTCTCTTTTTTGTTTGTTTGTTTTTTTTTTTGTTTTTTGTTTTTGTTTGTTTTTTTGTTTTTGAGACAGGGTTTCTCTGTGTAGCCCTGGCTGTCCTGGAACTCACTCTGTAGACCAGGCTGGCCTCGAACTCAGAAATCCGCCTGCCTCTGCCTCCCAAGTGCTGGGATTAAAGGCGTGTGCCACCACCACCCAGCCTTTGAACACAGTCTCTAAGTTTGTACTTTTTTTTCAAGCCAAGTTCTTGCTATGATTGCCTAGGATGGCCTTAAACTATAGGCTCAACTTATACTCCTGCTTGGTTTCCTGTTCATGCCACCTACTTTCACAAAAGTTTGTTAATTTTAATTAGCTTCATAATTTGAATTTATCATTTTTCTTTATTGTGTCCTAATAAATCTTTGCCTAATTAACATTTACAAAGACTTCTACTGGAATTTAATAATTTTAGCTTTTACATTTAGAGATATGACTCACCTCTGCTATATTTTTATAATGGGCTGATAATACAGTTCAGGGATAGATAGGCATATATGCTTCCCTAGCAGTCATAGAATGGTATGTGGTGGAAGGCTATCTTCACTCACAGGATTAGGAATGGTGGCCCACACCTGTAACCTCCATACTTCGGAGGCTAAGGCAGAAGGTTCATAAATTTGAGGTCAGTTTGGGCTACACACTAAAAGGAATTCTGATTGAAGAATAATTAGTACAACTAGTTGAAAAGACAATCTTTTCTATTAAGTTACCTTCACACATTTTTATTGAAGAACAGACCAGTATGGTATGCTAGTCTAGTTTAGATGTTCTATATTCTACCCTTACCAGCTATAGTACAACACCACCTTGACCGGAATAGTAGAATAAATCAAGTTCTTTACTTCTCCCCATCCTCTCTTTCTGGTTCTGAACACAGGGCCTGTGCATACAAAGAACATACTGTATCATACCCCTAGCTCCAGGCCCCTAAGGCTGTTCTTCTCTTTAAAAACCATTTCATCAGGCCGGAGAGATGGCTCAGCCGTTAAAGGCTAGGCTCACAACCAAAAACAAACAAACAAAAAAAACAAAAAAAAAAAACCCAAACATTTCATCTACTCCTGATCTTTTGTGTCCTATGTAAACATCAGAATCAAGATCTCCATTTTTAAATAAATTCTTTTATTTTATGTTTATGGGTGTCTTGCCCACATGTATGCCTATGCACCATGTATGTTCCTGTTGCTAGCAGAGTCCAGAAAAAGACATCAGATCCCCTGGAACTGGAGTTACAGGGAATTGTAAACCAATATGTGGGTGATGGGACTTAAACCTGGGTCCTCTGGAAGAGCAGCAAGAGTTCTTATGGTGTTGAACACAGGGCCTTGTGCATGCCTGGTGTGTGTCTGGCCTGGTTATTCGTTTGTTTTGAGACAAAGTTTCATAATACAGTCCAAGTTGGTCTAGAACTCACTTTATATTTTATTTTTATTGTTTTGTTCAAGACAGGGTTTCTTTGTGTAGCCTTGACTGTCCTAGAACTGGCTCTGTAGACCAGGCTGTCTTTGTACTCACAGAGATCTACCTGCCCCGCCTCCCAAGTACTGGGAGGAGCACCTGGAGCTCTCTATGTAGACCAGGTTGGCCTGCTTCCCCAGTGCTGTGACTAAAGATATGCACAACTATGCCCAGCAAATTTCACATTTTTCACCAAAAGCCTGAAAAGACTTTGACTGTAATTGTATTTAACCTGCAGACAAAGTTAGATAAACGGACACCTTAGTGATACTGACTTTTCTAACCAGTAAGAGAGTATATTTCTCAATTTATTTAGTTCCTTTAGTCTCAGCAAAGAACTGTTGCTTTCAATGCATAATCTGGCACATGCTGGAACGCTGTCCAAGAACGGAGTTGGATGAAAAGAATTCTGAGTACTTGGAGAAAACTCCAAGAAAACAAGGCAAGAGTCCTGTAACTACAGTTTCTTCAAAAACACATTGTTCTTGGAATGTGTTTTAGTGCCCCTCTCAGGTGTACCAGACAGGAGTGAGTTTATTTCAGATTATTCATTACAACTAGCTGTTGTTGTTTATATGCCTCTATGGTAAACCATGTTTTTGCTGTGAAGCTTGTCCTTTGGTTGTACACTCTACTATGTGACCCTTAACTGTCACAGTAAAAATAGACGGATTCTCTGAATAAAGTTGGCTATTGCATGAGACTTTAGTCAGCCTCACTTATCAGCTCCATTCTCCCCAGTCCCATCACCTCTAGAGCAGTAAACAGGAACACATTTGTCACTTCTACCTTAAACATTTCATGATGTTGTCAACTGTATATTAAAAATTTCACTTTCCATTCTTCCCATTAATATATAGAAATGACTTCCCAACCAACTCAGGCTAGAAAGATGGTTCAGTGGTTATGGGTGCCTGGTGTTCTTCCAGGAGGACCCGAGTTTGATTCCCAGAACTCATATCCAGTGGCTAAAAACCACCTTCAGCTCTAGGTCCAGGGGAATCTAATAACTTCTCTGGCATCCAAGGACATCTACACTAATATACACATACACACATGTACACATAAATAAAAATAAAGTGAATCTTTAAAAAACGAATTTTCTTTGGAATCTTGACTAGTCACCTATAATTGAAAATTTTCACTCACTTATACTAGTTTTTTAGTAGTCTTTTGGGTACATGCTTGTGGTTTTGTACAAACGAGTTATATTCAAACACAATGTTAGACAGGACTTCCATCAGCATAATTCTGAGTAAAACGGCAATAATATAATAATC